GGGTTAGACCCCAAACAACCCTTCCCCCCCCCCACAGATCCGCCACTAAATATGTAGAATTGTCTTCAGGGTTTAGACCCAAAGTTAAATATTATCATTTACAATCACATATTACCATCACCAAGCATTTACCAGCGGCAGCTTAAATGGCTTGGACATGCGCTGAGAAAAACAAAAAACGACCTGGTCAACCTCTACGCCCTCTACCAACCTGTCCACGGGAACCGTAGGAAAGGAAGACTATATACTCTCTTAAGATGTAGCTCTTACACCTAAGGAGATCCGCGAGGCCGCCCAAGATAGAGCCATTTGGAAAACCTTGTGACCGGCTGCTGTTCAGCCAACTAGTAGTAGTAGTAGCAGTTACATATTATAACAACCTCTTACAGTAACCTTGGAAAAGGCAACTGGGAATCACTGACGGAGGATGCAGCGCTTTCATATAATATTTTTCATTATTTAAAATACCTGTTTATTTTAAGGTTGAACAAAGAAATTGACTGGAGGGGGGCTTGAACCTGTTCTACCTTAAAATAATTATAATGCACATAGTCAGTTTACCTGTGTGGTTTCTTTTAAGAAAGGTAGTTTGTTCAATAAAAAGGGTTCAAAATAATCAAACTTGGATACACACCAAGGCCGTTCTCTTACATCAAGTATTTTGAAAAAGATACCGAAAAAGTAAAACTCGGGCCCGGATGCTATACATTTGGGACATTGCAACTCAAAAATGAACACTGGTAAACATTTGCCCAATCATTTTATTGAATCGAACTGACATATGACTGACCTATTTAAAGAGATAAAAGACCTTTGTACAGCATGAACAAGATTTCCATAATGCATTCAATTATTTGATTACAATCTAGAAATTGAATTTTCGAGGCTTTGCCCAAAATGACAAATTGCAATTACTTGTTTACATTCAAATTTATAAAAGTAAGGTAGCACTTAAAATGACTAACTGGAGTGAATGTTTGCATGAGCTTTCGTAGCAACAACAGTACTTCATCAGATGCAATGAAGAGCGGCATCATCATACAAGGTTTATCTATAGGTACATGTACAGTAAATAACAAACTAGGAGGTTTTGATACGAAAGCTTGTGCAAACTTTCATTCCACTACCTTACTTTTATGTATTTCATTTTGCCGACTAACACGGCTGTCCACCACTTTTTGTTTACATTCGAGTTCCATTTCAAATTTATCAAACATTTGTTTCTGTTTCATGATATTTGGACCTGGGATACCAGTACGAAGACTTATAATGGTAATTTTAAAAGGACAGTCATTCAAACAAAAGATTTATTAAAATGAAAACCAAAGTCATACCACATATGTGGTATAATTCGAAGCTTTGAATGAATGGGTTTGCGGAAACACCATGTGAATGATATCTCTTGGTGAGTTGTGTGGTTCTAAGAAGATCTACTTAGTTTAACTCGACGTTTCGAACAGTATGCTCTGCTCGTCATCAGGAGAACTTTCTTTGAGTTAATTTATATAGGTTTTCCCGGCTATTTTAAAACGTTGAACGTTCTTTTTCACCTGCTCTTATATTCAAATTCGTCCAGCAAAATCAATTAAGTACACTTAAAATGTTTAATTTCGTCTTTTATAATATAGCTGAAGCAAATTCAAAATACTGAATACACATATTCGTCAAGAGTATTCGATTTCGTCTCATATCTACGCCGAAGCGTATTGTTCAGATAACAAATTTTTCCATATTAATTTATTCAACACACATGTGTTAGTGTGATTACCCGAATTCGATCTCTGCATCCTGTCAGTCGGCAACAGCTAAAGACGACTTCTATTTGTATTGGCGAATGTCCTTGAGCACTTAAATACATAGGAGGACCAAACTTATAAACTGATTGATAAATGACTAAGCCTTAATTGATTTAGCCAAAACCATGTGAAATTATTTTGTGGACGGATCTGAATATAATAATTGGTAAACTGGAATGATCTTTTTTTTTTAATAGCCGGGAAAACCGATAACTTCGTTTACGTGGGTTTTCCAATGTAATTCTACAAAACATTTTTGGGTTTTTTCTTCATGATATTGACACATGGGATACCAGTCGGCCCCATGGAGACTTATATTGGTATTTTTTTAAAGGACAGTTACGCAAACAAAAAAATTTAAAAGGAAAAGTAAGAAATGTCTTACACACCGTTTCATCTTACATTTCATCTACGCCGAACCGTGTCAGAATACAAGTTCGTCCTGACTAATTTACTTAACAGACGTGTTAAAGTGATTGATATGCGAATTCGATCTCTGAATACTGCCGGTCGGCAACAGCTAAGACGATTTCAATCTGTATTGAAGAATATTCTTGAGCTAGTCCTTAAACAAATAGGTTAACCAAACTTTGAAAATGCGTGATAAATGACTAAATTGATTTTGCCAAAACCATCTGAAATTATTCTTGGGCGAATTTGAATATAAGAATCGGTGAACTGGAATAAAAAAAAAAAAAAGTGTGAAAATAGCAGGGAAAACCTACAACTTCGTGTGCGTGTGTTTTTCGATGTTAATTTGCACACACACACAATTATATTTGGACCAAGGGATAATAACAATAATAAACTTGATTTATTGATGGTAGCCATGTCACCTCGGGATGATTTTCAAAAGGTCATCATTAAAAAAATCAGAGTGAAAATACATTGAATCATTTACAATACACTGTACATTAAATAAATAAATAAATATATACAGGAGGCTTGAAATACAATAAAATACAAGGCTAAAAATTCAACACTCGAGGAGACCCAGACTAGTCCAGACTCCCAGAACATACGGACCGGAGAGACGAAGAGAAAAAAGGACAGGACACAAGAATCACTGACTATCAAAGACCACCAAAATAATGATATCCAATGCCTTGAAAAATTGAATACTAAAAAAAACCATGACCATCATAAATCCCTAGACTTAATAAAAAAAAGTAGCCAATAACTCAATGCTTACGACCTACAAATATTGAGGATACAAGTACAAGTATGAAGACTGGTATTAACAAGAAGAAAAACCGGATGCAAAAAGACTTAAAAGGAGAGAAATTCCTGACGTACCACTCGTGTCTCGAACAGTCTGATTCATATGGATCTTTATGTACTCTACACGCAGATGCGTTCCACTTTCCATAGTACAGTGTAAGGTGCACATTAATTTGACATAAGACTCCCCACTGAAGGATATAAATGTATGACATGCAATTCAGACTACAATACAGAAACATTATGGGGTTAAAACAGCAGATGGATTCTCTAGAATGAATAGAACGTGCTATAATTTTGCTATTTACTCTCTTACATATTAGCTGTTATTATAATGGTAATATATGCCGTGCAATATGTTTTTAAATAAACATTGCGTGTCGAGTACGTGCGCCTCAACTGAACTATGTGTGGATTACAAAAAAAATGAGTTGATGACACATCACACAATTTGGTAAAACAAAAATGAAGGTAATTAATTGGCTGCCTCATAAATGTACGAAGGTGCTACCTAGGCTGGAGGAGGTGAAGAAAACAACAGCAGGTATTGCTATCATACTGACACAAAAAAATTAATTTGATAAAAGTGACTAATTAAGGATTTATCAAGAAATGACACGAACAGGATTCTTTCGCAGGGCACGCAGCATATCGAATACAACTTTTCTTTCATTTTGACATTAGGCCTACACTTTAAAGAGGCAATGTGCGTGACATCGAGGGGATTTCCCAAACACATAGGCTAATAAAATTTCTGAAGCTGAACAAATACAGCTTTTAAAGTTGGTATATACATGCTTTTTCATAATTTGATTTTCTTTTCCGGACGACGTGTAAAGGAATATAATACCCCGTAACAAATAAATGTGCTGGTTTGTTTTGCAGGCTTTTATACAGTTTTAAAAATTGGTTTTGAATGGCGTGTTCCAGCTCAAAAATTGAGCACACTTTTCATAAATAAAGAAAACGATAAATATCCAAAGATGTGTCAATGGTTTGTAATTCGGCGAATCTGGGAGCGCACAAGCGTTGACACGACGCACACGCGCGCAAGGTTGCTACTATATTATTCGTCAGTTCAGTGCGTGACATCGCGTTGCAGCAATCGGATGGCTGAACCAGAATGTCCCCGGGCGCTGATTTCGGGCGCAATTCAAAACATGACTCTGCAACTTTTGAATTGAAACCGGGATCCTAGAATATTGTTTTCTCAGAATATACTGCATTCACAGAGCTAATACTTCATCAGGTTAGTTGTTAAGCACCCGTCTTTAGATTTTGATCACTTTTATTGCTCCAAACGAAAAAGAAATGCACCAATGACAAAGGATCTACCCTACCTTTAAAAGTTAGCCAGTCTGCACCACATAGAAAACGCATGTGGTTAACTTTCAACCATCCCCTCACAACCCTGATGGCAATATAGCAATTATTAGCGATAGTGCTAGCATCGATGTCCATTAGGCCTAAGTGTAAATTTCCGTGCAACATTAGGCTGTGCACAATTTCCCGGAGATTAGCTTAATGGAGATGGTACCTTTAAAGGGAAATTACAACATTTGCAAACATCGAAAAATAAAACTACCAAGTTTTTACGAAATACCTTACTAGGATGTTGGTAAATGACAGTCTAAAGCATCCTGTAAAATTATGGCACCAGGTGTCAAGTCATTTTCAAGAAAATGGTATTTTTGTATACATTTCCAACGATGGTCGGCCGACCACCGTTGGAAAAACCTAACTATTTTTCAACTACTGCTCCGAATTTACAATTGTTTTTGCTATTGGTTACATGTTCTTAAACGGGTGCAGGCCAGCTGGACTGGTTCCCTTACCTTACAATTTTCTGACATCTATAAATTGGTCCATTTTATATTTAGTGAAGTCGGGGAACCAGACTACTTAAACATTTTTGTTTTCTTGGTTTTTCAAGCATTTTCGAACACAAAACTTCAAACATGTCAGTTAAACAATATTTGCTCTATTATACTAACCCCTTAAATAGTTCATTTCTGAAAATTACAGCAAAAGCCAATGATGTACATTCCCTTTAACGAGACTTGCATTGATTTTACCCCGTTTCTCGCAGAGTTCATGTTCATGGCATCATGTCGGTGAACGGCGGATACCGAACAATCCATTTCTGTCTTATTTCTGGGGTGAATCTGCCAAAGACGGTGTTTCGTGGCTAATAAGGTTAAACCAATGCATTGTATAGTACCTTCAAAAAAGATGAAATTCCTGACCTTTTTGTTACGGATGGTGAAACGTATTGACAGGTTCCTAATATGTGTTTGTGGAGTGCGTTGAGCTGGTAAACGCCGTGCGTACCGCCCGACGGTAAGATGGGCACACAGCACAATAAATGATAGGATTGATAGCTGAGTTGAGAAACAATAAACTGTGGCTGAAAACTCTCAAACTGTTCTGAAGATCGTTAACTTGCAGGAAGGACATCCCCTTGGCAAGGCCGGATATGTAGACGAAATTGATGCAGGCATAAGGGAACTGGCAGATGAAGAAGACCGTGCCATTGATGACCAGCATGCGGGCGACTTGGTTGCGGACCAGGCGAGCTCTGCTAACCGACTCGTCTTGCTCGTCGGTGTTGGTAATATGTCGGTTTCCCAGAGTACGGATGATCTGGATGTACATGAATGCATTGCCAACCAGTGCGATCATGAACGGTACGGATGAAGCCAGGTTGCCCACGACCAGGGCCCAAGGTGCCAGCGGCAGACAAAAGCCGATGATGTCCGGCAGATCGGCGAATTTCTCGGTGTCGTTACCACCGCTGGGCCAAGTGACGCAGATACGGACCGGGTCGGCGTACTGCAAGACGGCGAGGCAGGTGAAGGCCAAGCCCACGCACCAGGTGCCCAGGACAAGCTTGACCGCCCGGCGCTTGGTGTTGACAGCCAGGTGCTTCAGCGGCCGGCAAATGGCGTGGTAGCGCTCGGCAGATACCAGGCAAACTGTCGCGACGGAGGTGAAGTAGGTCAGGAATGGAATGGCGAACGACACAGAGCAACTGAGGTTGAGCAAAGAGTGGATGTGACTACGCACCGGGGCTGGCAGGTACAGTAGATAACTGACGATCGTGAAGAACAAGAAGATAATATCAGCTATGGCTAGGTTGACCAGGAAGATGTTTGTGATGGTCTTCATGTAAGCAACCCGAGCAACAGCCACGAGGAACGATACATTCCCTGGCACACCAATGATCAGAGCCAGGATCTGGACACCCAGGGCTATTGCTCGAGATCCTGGGTTAATCAGGTAGGTAGAGGCCCGCTTGATATCATCTGATAAGTCCAGTTGGTACAGATCTGAACAGTTTAAGTCGCTCGTATCCACTACCATCTTGCATCAACACGCCAATAACTGGTAGCAAAGTAAACCTGCCCCAAGGTAGTTTTTCAAAGGCCTGAAGAGTGTATGATGTCCGTACCGCTCCTCTTCTGGTATTCGCACGCAGCCAACAAGAGCACTCAACAGACTGACACAATAAATTGAAACCATCTCGTTTACATGCAGAGATCGGTATGAGTGGTGCGAGATCACGCACTAAAGCGACATGGAGAGATGCACAGTACAGACACGGATGAGCGATGGTAATAACTGGTTGGGGTATAAGTGGCGCCGCATACCCTCATAAATAGACGGACTGCAAACACGTCGCGTACAAGCAGTAATTTGTCATCTCCCATTGAGGGACACAATTGTTTTTTTTACTTAAAGGTGCATGCATGTGGTTTTCATCACTGAAATCAACCATATATAATGTAAAATATGTTACCCGCACTTCGAACATTTTGTAGTCATCCAGTATTTGCAGGTCACACAAACCTTTTTTTTAATGGCTGATTATGTTTGTTCGTAAGTTTGTGTGCTGCGAAATGTTATATAATAATCGTTTCTATATTCATGACTAAGCAGTAACGTCAAAATCTACAGATATGTTAATAATAATAATAATAACAATAATAATAACTGTATTTATATAGCGCTTTTTGCCAGAGGATACAAAGCGCTGGGGGAGAATGCAACCAAAGCCAGGTAAATGAAGTATATGAACATAATAATGAGACCCATTAAGAAGCACCTTTTTGCTAGGTGCTGCGGTGCATAATTGCTGCCACTGCCAGAAACACCGGGGCAAACCCCTTCTCTTAGCGACAAGTGTTACTGGGTTCTTTAACGTGCATTACACAACACACGGGACCTACGGCTTTACGTCCCATCCGAAGGACGAAGCAATAATGGTAAAGTGCCTTGCTCAAGAGCACAAACACCATGTTCCCACGGTCAAGATTCGAACCCGTGTACCACGGCACACGAGTCGAACACCGTAACCATTGGACCACAGCGCCCCACAGCTCTTGTGAAGTTTCTCTTGAACACCATTAGAGCTAGTTAATGTACAAGCTTTGGTTTACAAAATTTGTCGGCAGATGACAGCCATACATGTCGTTATTGTGGTGAACTCAACAAATTACCGAAAGGCTTGAAATTATAAATACATATGTATACATTATATTTACAGTTTATTTACACGATTCCAGGTAAAAGGTGCATTGTCATTAAATCTCGCATTAAGCGCGACCCCAACTGAAAATATACAAGCTCATATGCTTCACAAGTTTTAATATCAGTTTGATTTATACGTCATCCCTACCCCGTTTGGACGGTGTGCATGGTTGAAATATCTTGAAAATTCACGGAACTGTCTACCCGGAAAATACCAAGGCAATTACTAAAAGGCTATGAGTGTTTTGACGAGATTTATGGGCCGGCTCGAGACAGGAGGCCATCTTTTACTGGCCAACTGCGGCCCGTAAAAATGCAGCTAAAAAAGAAATTGACCTGCGCGCGCCGCCTATGCGGCCTCGTAACCAAGCAGAACGGTGAGTGTTGCTGGTGCTATTTTTGTCTTTTGGCGATGTACGCAGCATGTTTGAGACCGTACCCTTCATCCAGTCAAGTATCCGTTCGGGTGAAGTGGCGGATCTGGATTTCTATTAAGGGGGCTACAATCCTGGCCAAATCTGGCTGGGCCCCAAACACCCGGTCCCCGCTCAATGTTGTCTCTCATTGCGCGGTGTGTGTTCCATCAGCTGGAGAGAACAACATAATTGACCGAGGGAGCGGGGGAGTTGGTTTGGAGTCAACACATGAGACCAAAAGCCTTCTGTGCAGCGCACAATGATTTTCAGTAACGTTATGACGAGAAACGTTTAAAGCTGTTTGCTCGTACCGAAGGGCCAGCCTCGTGACTGCCTCTGACTTTCTAACCGACTCACTGATTTGCTGTAACTTGAGAACCGGGTAGTGCTATTGTGTATGATTCCCCCGTTATGCCAATGAACGATCTTTAACCGGACAATAGACCTAAGACCCAATGACGTCACACTTTTTTGTGCGCGCACATGAGCCACAGCCATGAGCACATAATGTGTGATGTAGTCAGCGCCCTCATGAATTCAAAATAATGGATTTACTCTCCCGAGGTGGAAGAACCATGTAAGGGAACAGCAGCAGTACCAGTAAATCGACTCAATAGACCTCAGTGATAATTAACCTTTCGCGGTAGAATCGCGTAAATCGCAGCTTGTGGGACATTGTCCAATTAGGCTTGATATACAAATGGACGCAGAACGCCCAAATCTGAGACAAACAAATATTAACGTACACAATTCCACAGGGGTGTCTAAGCGCCGTGGCTAACTCGCAAACGGCGAAACGTCAATTACGCACACTTCCAAAAATATTTAATATACTCGCAACTCTCCAAAGTGTTTGAGACACCCATCAAAGTAAAGCTCTTTTCATCAACTTTCATTTGCTGTTCAGCTTTTGGGTGATAACATATTTCATGACTTTTGGGAGAAAATTCCATCCGAAGATGATCACCCCTAAAAATAGTCCTGTGGCCCATCGCCATTTTGAAAAAAAATTATGCCTGCGCTCCATTGCGAAAAAGAGCAGTTTTACTCCTCAATAAACCGACTGCAAACAAGTCGCGTACGAGCAGTAATTTGTCATCTCCCATTGAGGGACACAATCGTCTTTCTTTTATTTAAAGGTGCGTGCATTTGTTTTCATCACTGAGATCAACCAATTTAATGTAAAGTATGTTACCTGCACTTCGAACATTTTGTAGTCATCCAGTATTTGCAGGTCACACAAACCTTTTTTATGGCTGATTATGTTTGTTCATAAGTTTGTGTGCTGCGAAATGTTATATAATAATCGTTTCTATATTCAGGACTTGGCAGTAGCGTCAAAATCTGCAGGTATGTTAAAGCTCTTGTGAATTTTCCCTTCAACACCATCAGAGCTAGGTAATGTACAAGCTTTGGTTCACAACGTTTGTCGGCAGCTCCAGCCATACATGTGGTTATTGTGGTGAACTCAACAAATTACCGAAAGGCTTAAAATTATAAATACATATGTATACATTATATTTACAGTTTATTTACACGATTCCAAGTAAAAGGTGCATTGTCATTAAATCTCGCATTAAGGGCGACCCCAACTGAAAATAAACAAGCTCATATGCTTCACAAATTTTAATAACAGTTTGATCTATACGTCATCCCTACCCCGTTGGGAGTTGTGCATGGTTGAAATATCTTGACAATTCACGGAACTGTCTACCTGGAAAATACCAAGGCAATAACTAAAAGGCTATGAGAGTTTTGACGAGATTTATTATGGGCCAGCTCGAGACAGGGGGCCATCTTTTACTGGCCAACTGCGGTCCGTAAAAATGCAGTTAAAAAAAGAAATTGACCTGCGCGCGCAGCCTGTACGGCCTCGTTACCACGAAGAACGGTGAGTGTTGCTGGTAATAGTTTTGTCTTTTGATGATGTACGCAACATGTTTGAGACCGTACCCTTCATCCAGTCAAGTATCCGTTCGGGTTAAGTGGCGGATCTGGATTTTTGTTAAGGGGGCTTCAATCCTGGCCAAATCTCACTGGGCCCCAAACACCCGGCCTCCGGTCAATGTTGTCTTTCATTGCGCGGTGTGTGCTCCATCCCCCGAAGTGAACAACATTGACCGGGGGAGCGGGGGAGTGGGTGACCGTGGGAGGCTAAGGTTATTTCCAAGTGTCCCGACCATTTTGGCCAGGATTGTAGCTGCTGGTTTGGAGTCAACACATGAGACAAAAAGCCTTCTGTGCAGCGCACAATGATTTTCAGTAACGTTATGACGAGAAACGTTTAAAGCTGTTTGCTCGTACCGAAGGGCCAGCCTCGTGACTGCCTCTGACTTTCTAACCGACTCACTGATTTGCTGTAACTTGAGAACCGGGTAGTGCTATTGTGTATGATTCCCCCGTTATGCCAATGAACGATCTTTAACCGGACAATAGACCTAAGACCCAATGACGTCACACTTTTTTGTGCGCGCACATGAGCCACAGCCATGAGCACATAATGTGTGATGAAGTCAGCGCCCTCATGAATTCAAAATAATGGATTTACTCTCCCGAGATGAACCATGTAAGGGTACAGCAGCAGTACCAGTAAATCGACTCAATAAACCTCGGTGATAATTAACCAATCGCGGTAGAATCGCGTAAACGCAGTTAGTGGAACATTGTCCAATTAGGCTTGATATACAAATGGACGCAGAAAGCCCAAATCTGAGACAAACAAATATTAACGTACACAATTCCACAGGGGTGTCTAAGCGCCGTGGCTAACTTGCAAACGGCGAAAGAACAATTACGCGCACTTCCAAAAAATGTTTAATATACTCGCAACTCTCCAAAGTGTTTGAGACACCCACCAAAGTAAAGCTCTTTTCATCAACTTTCATTTGCTGTTCAGCTTTTGGGTGATAACATATTTCATGACTTTTGGGAGAAAATTCCATCCGAAGATGATCACCCCTAAAAATAGTCCTGTGGCCCATCGCCATTTTGAAAAAAAATGATGCCTGCGCTCCATTGCGAAAAAGAGCAGTTTTACTCCTCAATAAACCGACTGCAAACAAGTCGCATACGAGCAGTAATTTGTCATCTCCCATTGAGGGACACAATCGTCTTTCTTTTATTTAAAGGTGCGTGCATTTTGTTTTCATCACTGAGATCAACCAATTTAATGTAAAGTATGTTACCTGCACTTCGAACATTTTGTAGTCATCCAGTATTTGCAGGTCACACAAACCTTTTTTTTATGGCTGATTATGTTTGTTCGTAAGTTTGTGTGCTGCGAAATGTTATATAATAATCGTTTCTATATTCAGGACTTGGCAGTAACGTCAAAATCTTCAGGTATGTTAAAGCTCTTGTGAATTTTCTCTTCAACACCATCAGAGCTAGGTAATGTACAAGCTTTGGTTCACAAAGTTTGTCGGCAGCTTCAGCCATACATGTCGTTATTGTGGTGAACTCAACAAATTACCGAAAGGCTTAAAATTATAAATACATATGTATACATTATATTTACAGTTTATTTACACGATTCCAAGTAAAAGGTGCATTGTCATTAAATCTCGCATTAAGGGCGACCACAACTGAAAATATACAAGCTCATATGCTTCACAAATTTTAATAACAGTTTGATTTATACGTCATCCCTACCCCGTTTGGGAGTTGTGCATGGTTGAAATATCTTGACAATTCACGGAACTGTCTACCTGGAAAATACCAAGGCAATAACTATAAGGCTATGAGAGTTTTGACGAGATTTATTATGGGCCAGCTCGAGACAGGGGGC